ACTTTGACCTTGACCTCACTTTTCTTAAATAAGTTTTTAGCTCAGTTTTAAAGATACCATTCAAGATAGTGTTATTAAACTTCATATGCTGATACATACTGATGAGAGCTATTCAACTGCATCAACATTTTTTGACCTTGACCTTTCCTTTGACCTTGACCTCACTTTCTTAAATTAGTGTCAAACTTCATATGCTGATGCATACTTGTGAGAGCTATTCAACTGCATCAATATTTTTTGACATTGACCTTTCCTTTGACCTTGACCTCACTCTTCTTAAATTAGTGTTTAGCTCAGTTTTAAAGAAACTGTTTATAATAGTTTTATCAAACTTCATATGCTTATACATACTGATATAACCTTTTCAACTCCGGCAACAATTCTTGACCTTGACCTTTCCTTTGACCTTGACCTCATTTTTCTTAAATTAGTGTCAAACTTCATATGCTGATACATACTGATGTAAGCTATTCAACTGCATCAATATTTTTTGACCTTGACCTTTCCTTTGACCTTGATCTCACTTTTCTCAATTTGTGTTAAAATGTTTCATTACTAATATACCCTCGGCAGGGCATTCATGTCCTGTGGACATATTTCTAGTTGTAACATAAATTGTATTCTTTCATATAAATAACCTATAAAAATATACTTCATGTACTCAGTTACATGTACACTATATGTACACAGTTACGTGTACTTAAAGATTGAATATATATATGAATGAATGGTGAAAGCTTTTTAAAAAATCCCATTTTAATTAAGGTGGTACATGTAGTTTAAGATAAACGGGATCCTACTGGCTTGGGCTAGTGGGATAACCCTTTGATTGGTAGAGCACTGGATTGGCATGCCCAGATGTCCCAGGTTCAAATCTATTTGGAGGCACACACACATCTCTGTAACATTATTCCATTTATATATTGTCACTATATGTTCAATGGAAAGTGCAAATAAAAAGAAACACAACACAAGAAAGTGGAGGCATGATCAAACAAGCCAGTAAAATGTAAACTTGATTTAGAGTGTGGAATTTTGCCTGGCCCCATACAGCAATGTGTTGTAATCTACCAGTCAAGGTTGTAGCTAAAGCTTGTTTTTATTTTTGCCAACTTAGGTCACAGTGGCATGTTTTTTCATCAATTTATTTGGCTTTAAATAGAATGTCTGAATACCTCTTTCACAAGAAGAGAAGAGTGGCGCAGACTGCTCGATAACAACTTTTTTTGAATAACATATCCCTCCAAGATAAAGAAAACAGGGGGGACATTCAGTGCAACAGTGAAGGTTTGCCAAGTCATTGGTGAATTGATGAACTAATCTTTCTGCTTGCCTGAATGTTGGTAGTATTTTCAACACAACATGGAATAAAAACAATTATGAAATATTACATATGAATAATTCAAGCTTCTTTTAAAACAAGCTTGTCTGTTTTGAATGGACACGGAAACATCTGAAGGCCAAGTGAATGTGTTTTGAATTTTTATGGCAGATACATGTTTATGAAGTTGAACTAAAGTTAAGCAGCATAAATTGCATATTTATTTAGATACCAGCCATTATATTTATAAGAAAAGAAAAACTAAAGAAAAAATAAGCTCAAAGACTAAAGATTTCTGATGCAAAGATGTTCGATGCATGCATGCACACTAAATATTAGCTGTATGCTTGAAAGTTCTAATATGATGATGAATACAATATACATGTATATATATAACTAGCTGCAATAATGTAGCCCTCTCTGATTTTTTTAAATCTGATATTTTCAGGAGAGGGCCTCTCCCAAAAAAAAAAAAAAAAAAAAATTGGAGAGGGCTACATTATTGCAGCTAATGTATAACTACCTGGTACTAAAATACGATTCCAGCAGTGTTAATTCTAGACTAAAATTTGTACAGCCACCAAAAAAAAAATTCCATAATATTTTTAGGCAATATTAATAGTTGTTTTAAATTCCAAGGAATGATATTTCAAGAATTATATGGTCCAATGAACTATCAGTGAATTATTAAACAATGGATCTTTCAGGTATGATCTCATATATAAATACAAAGTGAACGTATAAGAAGTTTTCTCCGTTCGTCATATTAAATAAATGTGGTCAAAAATTGCCAAGGGCTATTGTGTCTTTATGAGCTTGTTTCGCGTAAACAATGTCCACAGCTCTGCAGAAAGAAAATATGCAGAAGAATACACAAAAAATCTCAAAATTTACAGTAATTTTAGACTTGCACTCTAGCAAAAGAAGGGAGGCATCTGGCATTTCTGAAAACATTGTAAAAGAAAAAGAAACATGTCCATATATTAAATAAAGTAATGGCTGATATTTCCTTGTTTATGCCTTTTAATTGGTATGTGGAGAGTAATATGACAGTAGCTGTGTGTTCAGTCAGGACTGAGGTGTCAACAAGTCATAACTATACCAGGATTACTCGGCAGACAGTAAATGTGTGAAATTAATCAGCCACAATACAAACCCTCAAGGTCAAAACCTCCGGCTGCTCTGTAGGAACAGACACAATGCCCCTCCCACCCATCACTTTCTTTAATATTGCAATTTTTCATGAATATGAAGGGTGGAAATTTCAATAATATGGTTGTTTTGTACATTTGTATTAATTTTGGTTCATCAAAGAACGCCATGTCTGTCAGGGGGTGATTTTATTTTTACAAAAAATCAAAAAGGTAACACTCTCATTCTGAAATCTAGATAATAACTTTACAGTTTGATGTATAATACATATATGTTAATTAACAGTTAGATAGATGATTTATTATATGTTTTTAATTTTTCCTGTCAGTGACAGCATTTTTTTTTCTCTGGCAATACCTTTTTTCTGGTAATACCACCATGCTTCTAAACATTCTGAGATGAAGAATGTTCTGAACAGTTCTGCACTTTTCCATATTGTTTTGTACTTATAACTGTGTTCTCTGCTCGTACATGTACTTATTAATCAGGATGAAACTAAACCATTAAAGTATGAAACACAGCATAAAATTTAACTGAAATTTTAAGTGTGGGTAGGTTATTCCCTAATCATGGAAATATTACAAGAAAGCTGGGCTCCTGGTGAAACAGAGATGTTTGTTGTTGTGTCAAGAAAACCCAGTATAAAAACCTTACAGTATTGATTCGTCATAAAATTGCGTGCAGTTGATACTGGATAAATAAGGGATGGATTATAGTAAAGCTCTCCGTAACATAATAATTCCTGAATTAAAAATAAAAGTTCCCTTGATTGCGAAATTGGCTATGCAGGAGTGTTGGTTGAACATGCTGAATATTTTCCATTATATAAGTATAAAATGAGAACAAATACTGAATTTGTAGAAATAATATGTTATAGCATCTTGTTAATCTCCAAGTGTGACTTTGATATAATATTTGATCCAGTGTCAATTTGTCTTCAAGGAATTTAGTTAAAGTACTCAGGCAACTGAAATTGAATTGAAAGGAAGAATGAGAAAAAAATGGAAATCTGAATTGTCTTTGTTCAACTGTCATTACATTGACCCAGATGTTTGTGCTTCTAATCAGGTTCTGAATTGTGTGCAGCTATTCATGGAAATCAATGGGAAACATGCACAGTAATACTAGGAACATAGCTATTGATCAGAAAACATAAAGAATTGTACCCATCAGTATCATGTTCATTGTTCAATCTATTTTTGACACCAGAGCATTAATTGGAATGTCCTGAAAAACTTATATTACAAACCATTTAACCCAATTCCATAACCCTGTTTTATATGCATGTATTAACACAAGAAAGAAAATTATTATGATAATAGATTGTACCTACATAACTAAATTCTTAGTACCCAAGTCCTTGATTGTGAAGTTGATCTGGGCAAGTAGTACATGAAAGTGTATCAGAGGATAGTTTATAAATCTGGCACAAATAAAATTACATGCATCAGAATTTCACCACCTTGCCCCTCCCTCTCTCCAATAAAGGTGGGTCTGTTTTGATTTACATATACATTTTGCTTTAATTACAAGACAGCATGTTGATATAATTTGTTATCATCACAATGCTAGTGTCTGTATTTATTTCACTTTTACCATTTGTGAGGATAATTACATGAGCATCCGTCTTGTTCTTGCCATGGCTCTGAACCAGCCTTTGAGGTAAACAAGTGGCCTATGTACTTCTAATTTGCCTCCCCTCCTGCCTGGGTTCTATTGTTTCTTGTCCTTTCAAGGTAATTATTCAGAAGTATTGTCATTTCTCTATGCACCTGGGATGACATTCTTGTTCTGGTCTAAGTTCATCAACTTGTGGTTAGCTGGATATCTTTGTCTGATGAGAGTTTGAAGGATCACACAAGTTTTGATTTCTCTGCATGTACTAAATATCTGGCCTCTGGTTCATGGTCATAAAGGCCACACAATGGCTACAAGACTTCTTATTTATAGAACCTGATGTGTTCAAACTATGCCACGAAGTCGACACATCACCTTCTGATGGTATATAATATAATAATGGTGAATGTGTGCAGTTTTGAAGGTTTGACAAATACATTTTGTTTTTTGCACTTGCAATGATGCATATGAAATAATATACATTCAGAGGTGGTTTACAAATACAGTTTGTCATTGCACTAGCAGCAATGCATATGTTTGAATTGGAAAAATGAAATACACAATCACAGGATTTCACTTGTGATTTCACTGACAAAAAATAATTTGACAAACAAAAACAATTTTAAAAAATGATTTAAGAATGGTGAGTATTTTGCCTTAATTTGTGCAGAAAAATAAATTTAATTTCTGCTGAATGATAATAGAAACTTTAGGAATGATGCTACAGTGCATATATATTCCTCCCAAGTAATCTGAATATGAAAGTAATATTATCATATTTTAGTTCAAATAGAGTGAGATTTTTTTTTGTTGGTATTCCCTTTCAAACACAGTGATTGCATAAAAATCCAAGTGTGAATCTTCATCAAAAGGCCATTATTTTTACAAACCTCCTGAATATCTATTACAGGTTGTGACAGAGGGGATTGTTTGAGTGGAATCTGTGACAAGGGTATCTGCTGTCATCCTAACTGTCTAGGAGGCTGTACTGGACCCACAGACTATGACTGCAAAGTCTGCAAAAATGTTGTCAGCATGATCAATGGCAAGACCATCTGCCAAAAGCAGTGTTTACCTGGAACCTATACAGTAAGTAGAGTGCTGGAAAAAAGAGGGGGGCATTTGTTGAACAACAATTTACATAACAATCAGTACTTTGCAAAGTGCTTTAATGGTCATTGAGGATCTGTAATGAAATACTGGTAGTGTTTCTTTTTTTAAAGCAACTTTTTTTTTTTGTCTTCATTTCAAACAAATGAAAATGTTATGAACATATCTTCTGTTTGCTTAAGTGGGTTTTTTTTTCTGTAACAGCTGCAATATAAATGCTCATGCTAACAACCAAAGCATTTTATTGTTAAATAGAAGAGAATATGTGATTGGACAATATAAGGGACTCTTGAATAATTTTTGTTTTAAAAAAGCAACTTTTTGACACTTGGAAGTGTATATAACTTTTAACAAATACACACTGTTTTTTTTTTTCCATTTAATTGTAGTTATCCAGGGGTTTTAAATTTTCAACAAACATTCAATAGTCCGGGGAATACTGAGTTTGTGTAATTCACTAGTCCATATATAATGTTAATTCACTAGTCCATTGGCAAATAAAACAAAACTGAAGCAATGTTTGTTGACCCTGTGTAAACTCATTATCTTGTGGCTCCTGCTGCATCCCGCTATAAAACTAATGCTAACAACCTGATGCTTTAATTCTAAATAATACTAAAACCAATTCTGAAGTAAACAAGTGCTAGAAGAAATGAAAAGTAATTGCATTTGAAAAAAAAATTTTGAATAAATTTTTTACTTTACAAATATTTTTCTTTTCCAATGGATTTTGGCGAGTGATTATTAGCTAGCCTGGCCTATAAACTCGAGGTCCTGGACCCTGGACCACAGTATTTTTAAACCCCTGATCATCTCATTGCTATAAATACTTCATTATTATTATTATTAATCATGAGCCCTGCTTTGTCCTGAATCTTAAGCACAGAGTGGGTACAGCTGGAGGCTGTGAATTTTGTGTGCTTGCCAGCATTAGGTCTCAGTGCAAAAAGTTCATTGTCTTCCTTATCTATAAATAACCTAACTGCCCAGTCTTACAGTAGTGGGTATAAATACACCATGAAGTGCCTACTGTCAATCCCCCTTTTGACCGGAGAGTTTAAGTGATGTTCTAGGTCATAATCTAGTACATTTATCTATAATTGATTTAATTATGTTATTATCACACATACACTGACCATCTCTAAATAAATTCCTTTGAAATATAACTATATATACATATTTTTGTGCATCAATGAAGACAATTTATTTTACTTTGAATAATGCATGGTTGGATTTTTTTTTATGACTTCCTTAGTTTATACTATCAGATTTTTAAGATATTTTTTATCTGCAGGTTTGAGTAAATCCTTGTACATATTTTTTATTAAACAACTGATTCAAAAAAAAAAAAATCTTTATTAAGTAAGTAATTCATTTTAAAGCCAGTTGTTACAGTATAATTGCTTATAATAGTTATTGATGTGCCCTAAATAGATGGTTACATGATATTTGCTGAAGTTATTTGTGAGTGTATTTAAAAAAAAAAACCATCTGGTGTGTTATAATAGTTCTAAATAAAAACTTTTTTAATGAATGGACAATTCCACCTGTAGTTTGTAGGTGCACTCACTTGAAAATTTGAATTAAAACAGACCTGTTGATAAGAGATTGATGTATCAAACCAAAACAATAATAATTCTCTTTAGAGCTGCCTTGGGAAATAAACAGTGTCTTTAAATACCATCATGTTATATATAAAAACAATCTCTTACAGTTTTTGGTTTGAAGAACACTTTGAATTTTTCTAAAAATACTGGACCCTTTATGATGCACATAGCTAGATTATCCATTGTACTAAAACATGAAAGCTTTTGAATGTTTTGGAATAGGTGTGTATTTTTAGAACAAGTAAAATTGTCTTACTTAAAAAATGGAGTATTTATTCACTGTAAAGATTTTGACGACTGATAATTAATGATATTATGAATGTATACTGTGTATAATCTTATGATGTTGCTTTTCATAAAGGAAGGAAAATATCTTTTTTCTGTGTAGAAGGTTTTTTGTTCGTTAGAGTTTGTCCTGCAGGTGACAGCAAGTCATTATATTACTCCGCAGTCATTAAGTTGATGTTTGCAAATGACAGCATAAAATGCCATTCACCCTTTTCTTATGCAACAAAAAGCACTCTCCCACATTTTTTCCCAATTCATAGAACCATCTTGATCATGTGATGAATAAGGGTGATAGGTTTTGTGGAAATTAGATTCAATTGCTTTGTCAGCTTATGTTTTTAGCTTATGGCTATCTGCTCAGTATTCCATTCCAAATAAATCTTTATGGTAGTTGATGAAAGGGAGAAAAAAAAATATTATTTTTAGAAATAGGTGTAGCAGGGGTTTAGGACATTGAATTTTTTGGGGAGGGAGGGCATTTTTTGTTTTGAAAGAAAAACCTTTTTTAAAAGAAAAATAATGCAAATTATCAAATGGAAATCCAGCGAATATCATTCTCTCTGAAATAGTGAGGAGGCATCTTGAGATTTACAAACTTATTATGGGAAGCAAATTATTGTTTGTTATTATGGTTTTTAACAATAATGCGTGTATGTTGAAGATTTTTGAAATAGATTGTAAAAGTAAATTTTTTTTTTTTTTGCAATAGCTGCGGAAAAGAAGATGTCTGTTGGAGCATGAGTGTACGGATGTGATCAAGTACAAACTGGTCCAGAGCGAGCAACGGGAACATCCTGGAGAGTGTGTGGACAAATGCCTCGCAGGATACCTTGAGTCTAAAGATGGCATGACGTGTGTCAAGTGTGTTGACAAATGTCCAAAAAGTATGAAGTTTGTTATTAAATCGTCTGGGAGTTGTCTTGATTTACAGAGTTTTTAGCTCACCTGAGCTGGAGGTTTAATTGAGCTTTTCTGATCAATGATTGCCAGTTGTATGTGTATCTGTATGTATATATACAAATGTTTATATGCATGTAAACTTTCCTCATGTTTCATCTTCATCTTAATACCAATTTCAACCAAACTTGCCTCAAAGCAACTTTGCATGAAGGAGATTCATGTTTATTCAAATGGAGGTTCACGCCCTTTTTCAAGGGGGGAGGTAAATAAATCAGCAAAAATGGCATCAAGCCTCATGGTAAAATTGTGAGTAAAAATTGTTGAATTCATGGCCTTTCATTTGGAGAAAAAAAGAATTATAGTTTTATCATCTATTGAACATATTCATCTGGAAGAAATTGGTGACACAGGTGAGTGTTGTGGACCATAGCCCTTTGTAATTATTTATTGAAGGAATTTCTCATTTTTGTACAACTTCTCTTTAAGGAATGTAATCATTTTTTTCATGATTTTAAAAATAATTCATTTGGTATAGTGCATAATACAACTATATAGGTATTCTTATTTAAAGGATAATCTTACAATATGAACAATCCTTTCAAATTTTAACAGAAGTTTAATGAAAAGACCAAGTTGCACAAAGGCTTCTTAAACTGCCAACTAGTTGTTCTTTTCTTTCATTAATCTTCAATATACTATTTACTGAAAGATATTTCTATCAGAGAAATTTTATAACCCTTCCCACAACTTGACTCAGATTTGAAATTCTTATTGACTGTTGACTTGATATAAAATATACCACAAAAAGATACAAAAGTTTCCATGGTTACAGTTATCAGGATAATGATGATTTTTGACTGACTTGCAGGTTGTAATGGAAAGAAGCTGGAGACTGTTGCACAATCACAGGAATTGTTTGGTTGTACAAAAATTGTCAACCACCTAGAAATCAGGATCAGAAAAGGAAGTAAGGAAATACTTGCAAAAGATAGTAGTTTGATAGTCATTTCTAGTTAAGTACGGCAAAACTCAAATATAACCAACATGGATATAACAAATTTACAGTTGTGATAATTTAATGTTAAGGTGTGATTTTATATTTTGAACTCTATGATATTTTGAACTCATTTTCAAAATATCACCATGAAATATTAACCCCCCATATAATATACTGAACCCAGGATTCAAAATATTATTGCAATAATAATTTGATCCTTGTTGAGACTTTCACAGTTAAAAGATAATGGGTTCAAAATATTATGCAGTATAATGAACCCAGGTTCAACAAAATATCAAAATATTATGCAATACTGGCAAAGTCTGAAATTTTGAACTTCTGTTTTATTGTGAATTTTGTAATCAAATTTGTTACAAATTTTCCATGAAATATATTACAATGTAGCAAGTTTTTCACTAGTCTCTTGTTCACTCTGACTCAGTTTTGCTGTACTACACAGTACAGTTGTGTGCTACCTGAGGAGTAGACACAGTTATCACCAGGTACTAGTTAGCAATACTTTTGTTATTACAGATGAGAGGTTTTATTGGTGATATCATTTTGCATACATTTCCTAGAAAGTGGTTATTGATTATGAGAAATGTTTTATTTTTAGTGTAATATTAGTAAATGGCAAAGTACATTTGACATCTGCATAAAATAGAGTCAAACAAAAGAAAAAGATAGTTGGAAATTCAAAAATGAAGATTTTAGGTTTAAAAAAAATTCAGAAACAAAATTTCAGATTAATGAGAGTATGATAATTTTTTTTTTTGGTTTGAAAAATAGGTTTAAAAAAGAACAGTTCATTTCGACTATATAATCTTCAAAAAAAGAAGTTTGAAGAAAATCAAAAAAATCAAGAAAATTATTGAGAAATAAAATTAAACAGTTCTGTCGTGTATGATTTAATAATAATTGTAAATATAAATTTGATGTTAGATTTGGAATTTTTATTTTACATGTAGAATTCTATTTAAAGAATGAGAATAACTTTTGCAGGCAATGTTGCTCAGGAATTGGAAAAGAACCTTGGTCAGATTGAGGAAGTTCAAGGCTATGTGTGGATTCATAACTCAAATATACTTCTCTCGCTAGGCTTCTTCAAAAATCTTAGGATGATCCGTGGACAATCCTCAAATGCAGCAAATAGGTCAGTCTACATAAATTAGCATTTGATCAAAAAAAGAGTGAATGCTGATTGGGATTTTATTCACTATTATCTAACAAATCATATATAAATTAATGTACATGCAAAGAAGAATGATAGTAAACCTCTAAGAATATAACCAGAATATGACTTTGTTGTCCCCTGCTTTTGTGAAAGTACTCATTCATCTGTCTGTTAGTCTGTCCATCTGTCACAAAAACTTTAACCTGGTTGTAATTTTGACTGATTTTTCAAAAGTAATAACTTTTGTAATAACTTCCAAACGAGAGAAGATAAAGTTTTCATTTTTCACTTGTGTATTACCTTTGACAAGACCTTTCCAAGTGTTTATAATTTTTCACCCTGTAACCTTGAGATTTGATCTACTTTTCAAAAATTTTGACATTTGTAACTTTTGAATGAGAAGATAGGACTTTCATATTTCACATGCATTAACTCTGACAAGACCTAACGTACTATAATTTTTTCACCCCCAAGACCTTGACCTTGAATGTTGACCTACTTTCAAAAATTCTAACATTGGTTATTACTTCTAATGAGAGACGATAGAGCTTTCATATTTCAGATGTGAATTACCCCTGACAAGACCATTCCAAATATACCATGACTTTTTACCTTGTGATTTTGACCTTGAACTTTAATCTACTTCTCTGAATTTGCTTGTTATAATGAAATGATTCGTATTCCATGTGACAGGCTTTGTTTGGCAAACTTTAACTATTCACATGATTGCATGAATTTTGATAAAATGCAATGTATTTCAAAACCAATTACATTCCCATATTTCACAGATTTGAAACTAAAGAGTCAGTGGATCAAAGACAAAATAATCTAGTGATAATGCTTTCTTGTTGTAGTTTTGCCCTCCTTGTCCACGACAACATGAATCTACAAGAACTGTTCCCAGAAAATGTTATGAACAATCTGGAAATTGAAAATGGCAAAATGATATTCCACTACAACCGTAAACTCTGCTACAACAAGATTAAAACATTCGAAGAGAAGGTGAAGATGCCAAACAAGTCCCAGAATGATATATCTGATAGCACTAATGGAGACCAAATGCCATGTAAGTGTGTGTTTTAAATGTTTATGCTGTAGAAAATTTGATCTGTTTTTTGGATATTTAGGAAATTTTTCATGTCTCTCTTTGGTATCAAAATCAATGGTAATTAACATAGTTTGATCAAGATATCTTTTCTGAAAGAAATTTAAAGTTTCAGATTTAACATACAGTACACAAAAAATATTACATTCTTCTTGATAATTTTATACTTGCTTTTAAATCTGCTTTTAATAGAAAAATATGGTTAAAATATTCAGTTTATTTCGTCTGAATGAAAGCTTTATAGCCAGTTTGTCAAAGTAAGGAATAAATTAAAAGAATTTAACAAATAATGAATCATGTCTAAAAAGACTGGAAATCAAGTCCTCTCTCTTCTTTTTTTCTAAATGGTTTCCTCTTCCTTGTCTGCCGAAAACAAAGTTCTGAAAAAGACAACATGCATGTTTTGAGACATTTACAGCAGATATGCAGTGAAGTTTGACTTTTGTTGATAAGGAACAGGTTCATTGATCTTTACCTGGTGTGATGTACTATTATATCTATTTTTGACAATATGTTTTTGACCAGAAAGTATTTTGTCATTTGAAACTGTATATTTGCATATCTGGTTTTCATTTAATGAATGATATTTGGGTTATCAGTATATTGTAAGGCGATGAAGAAGTTATGACACAGTTGTGTTATTTATTTGGGGGGGGGGGGGGGGCGTTCCTTGATACAGGGAGTTGTTAGATGCAGAATTCCTTGTACATATAATATTGTATGTTTTTGCCTCCTCTCTATGTATATGCAGGCAGTTTGAGACACCTTAGTCTCAGAGTTTCAGGTGTGACTCCCACCTTTGCTTTTCTGCTATGGAGCAACATCAAATTTCCAGACCGACGCAATTTGCTAAGCTATATTATCATCTATAGAGAAGCGTAAGTGGAACGTGGCCGACACCTCCAATAATATTAGATCCACCCAGTTACCTTTTTGTAGAATGTTTTATTCTTACTTCATAGGCTTTTCTGTTCTGGTGATGTATTTTATTAGTGTATGATTGCCCACACCTTTCTATTCACCTTTGAGATGTAGCTATACATAGTATGTGTCTTGCATGATGACCAAAGCTTACGTATGACCCCGCTATATCTTGATACAGGCACTGTGGAGACTTTGAACCTGACAGTAGTTAAGATAGCAGCACGGATTGCTTTCCTACGCTGGGATAACTTCAAAACTTCTGATGCAAGGCAATTGCTAAGCTATGTTATCAACTGGAAAGAGGCGTAAGTAATTCTAATTACAACTAAGGCTTGGTAACTTTGTGGTGCAAGCTTCTGAATTGTTGATGAAGGATAATTAAAATTTGCATGTGCCGGATTGCATTTTGCTGTTTACAAGAGTAAGTCAATGTTCATATAAAGTTAATTAAGCAATGGCCCTCCAAGTATTTATACAAGATCAGTTGCAATGGCTGCGATATGTGAAATTATCCCAGATAAAAATGCATGAATCCAATTTTTTTAAGGATTTCTTTCATTTGACAGTGTATATGATTAGTCTATATTACATATAGAAAAAAATTGCAGTTTTTACAACCTTACATTAACAATATTTTTGCTTTTTTTTTCTTTTTTTTTTTATAAATCAATATATTTAAATTTACCGTATTAATATGTATGAAATAGATTTAGATGACTTTTTGTTTACGTATATAGACCCCCACCCTACCTTAAATTGCTGTAAATAGACTCTATTTTACCAGTAAATCTTCCACTAATCAAGAGACTTTGTCAACCTAAATTTATTTCTAAGGTAAAAGTATACAGATTGCTTAACTCCAGGAAAAACTCATTTAGATCAAAATATTCCATAATTTACATTTCATGAAATAGCATTAAAAGAAGGAAATATTTTGACACTTTTATGTTTTGCACTGTTTTCCCCTCCCTCCTACAAGATTTGTTTTTTTAAATCTTTACTTTAATCTGAAGTAGTGAAATGATTTATTTCTTAACAATTTGACAAATTATTCAATGCCATTATCAAAACCATTTGTATAAGATCCATTCTCAGACAACTAAAACATGAAATTTGTCACATAGACTAGCAAAAAATTGATAGTATTTATACAAAACAAAGGTGTAAATATTCAAAGATTGATACAGAAATCTGTACTATGCAATGTAGGATTTTTTTATAAGGGCAAATTTGTATATAAAAAAAAAAATAAGTAATTTTTTTTTCTTTGTTGGATTTGGTTGATTAATGTTAATGTTTATACGCCATGTTGCACTGAAGGGATTACATCATGTCCACATTGTGACTGGTACAAAACTGGTTTTAGGGTCACCCTGATCCATCTAAACACATTTTGTTATTTTCCTGACATCATAAGCTCATCATTTAGAGAAAATGTCTTTAGGGCTTAAACTTTAGAAATGTAATAATTAGAATGTTTATATATATTGCTTAACGTAGATTAGAATATAACAGATTTCAAGACGTAGGATTATTTAATGATATATATATTTTGATTGTTTAGAATATTTTCCTTTGTTCATGCATAGAAAATAAATTTAAAAACATTACTATTTGATAAAATTTGATTAACCAAATTGAGCTTGATGATTATGACAGAAGATTGTAGCACACTTAGTTTATATTATTTTTTTGTTGTAGTGTGATATGATTAATATAAGTACCTATATAGTTTGAAACACACATACACATCTAAAAATAATCACATTTCTAATATTGGATTTTTTATGAAGAAGTATGTGATTTATTTCAAGGTAATTTTGCTCTAAGAAACAGGTGGAATATGTTGGTAGAATTGTTATTTTTCTTGTGATTGGCTGTAGGGAATAGGAACTTGCTCAATCATTTAGAGATATCATACATGTTAAATCTTACTGATTTAGGCAGAAGTCTACCGATATTTATAAACCCATCTACTGCCTACCGATACACTATAAATCTTCCAATTTATCCACAAGTTACCCAACAAAAACCTAGCTAGCAGCTTTTTTTTGTTTTCTTCAATTTTTAAAATGATAATTTGTATGTATAAATGTAGTATAAAACACATTTAGATATTTTGTTTGCAGCTTTAATATTCCTTAAATCTTTAATATGAAATGTGAACACCTAAAAAACAAAAACACTCAGAGATTTCATAACGGCATCACTGTAGTTTTAGTTTTTTTTTTTTTTTTTTTTAGTAAATAGATTAACAATTTCTAAATTAATCATCTAAATTTACAAATCTTTTGTACTGTTAGGTAAGAAGTGATAAAATATTTTACATATATACCTACTTAACTGCATATCTTTTAGGTAAAAGCAGTTTAAAACAAAATATGAAATAAATTTATCTAGCTTACAAATAAAAAGTTGCTTGAATAATATCTCTTGCTCTCACTGTCAGAATGACCCAGATATTCTGAACTTTTGATGCAATTTTTGTGGTGTTCTTTAATTATATGTAGATCTGTTACAAACCCTTAGAAGACCAAGAACATTAGCGTGATATGAATCTATCTATTTTTTATGATCAATGTTGTATTCTGATGTTCTCCCCTCTACAGGAAGTTGCTGAAGGGAATGATGGGTAAAAATCAATCTCTTTTCTGTTTTGCAGGCCATTCAAAAATCTTTCCATCTATGAAGGAAGAGATGTTTGTGACGATGATGTGTAAGTTTATATCCTATTTTTTTTTCATGAAATTATTCAGGGCTGTCCATTAATCAGATTTCAGTAGGTGTATATGTTTTAATATTCAGGGCTGTCCAATAATTAGATTTCAGTAGGTGTATAGGTCAACATTTTCAGTACAAATTTGATTTGACACTTGCACAGCAGAATGTGGTCATGCTGACCACCTTATCTGTCACATTTAGAACCAAAACTTTACATGTAAATAAATGCTCTGCCATTTAGGAAAACGTATTGGAAGAATTAATGCTCCAATTTAAATGACATTATAGAACACATGCCCTTCATTTCCTATATACTATTACAGGTGGAATACAAAGGATATTTTGAACAAAATGGGGAGAGATGAAGACCATGTGACATCTTTGCTGCTGAATTTGAAGCCCTGGACACAGTACGCAGTATACGTACAGACCTACACTACATCCTCAGCTAAATTTGGAGCCATCAGCAAGATTGTTTACTTCACTACTCTCCCATATTGTATGTTTATGATTGAAACCTACTTTTTTTTTTTTTTTTTTTAAAGATTTGTTTGTTTTTGTTTTGAAATAAGTATATAATTTTCTTTCATAATTTTTGAAAACTTTCTCTTATCTTTGAACATAGTCATTGAATTTTGTAACTAGTTTATTTAGTTATTAGATTGCTTGTTGAAGTATTTTGTTAGATTTAAAAAAAAAAAAAAAAACTCTTGATATAAACATTTGAAATTCAAGAATTTTTTGAAGTGCACAGTCTTGAAAAGGACTTATAATTACAGATCCTACTATACCAGACAAGTTACGAGTGAAAGCATTAGCACCTGGGACCCTTAAAATCATGTGGAACCCTCCCTCCAACCCTCATGGCAATGTTACACATTATGAGGTGTACTGGAGGAAACGACCACTGGTGCATGAAAAATTTAATGAAAGAGACTACTGCTCAGAACGTAAGTTATTGATGAGATTCAGTAATTTGTCACAGGAGTTTAAATTGATTGATTTTTTTATTAGCTGACTTGATAAAAATAAGTATATGATGATAAATGTGTATTGTATTAACAGCCTTAGATACGCTGATAGAACAGTCAGAAGATCTGTATGACGAACAGGATGAACTGGACACTGGCCGGGACCAATTAGGACGAGAAATCAGCAACAAGACGTTACAGGGAGAATGTGCGTGCCCAAAATCTAACGAGGAAGAAGAAGTGGAGAGGAAGGAGAGAGAAATGCAGATAGCATTTGAGAACTTCTTACATAACTATGTCTACCTCAAGAGGTAAATAGCATGCTTGTATAGCCAATGAAAACATCTTAACAATGACTAGGGAAAAATGGCAGAAGATTGCATTGTGTGATTTATATATATATAGGGTTTTCTTTATTATAGTTTATCCCTTGTGCATTTACAAGTATTCTTGAGTGAATTTTCAAGATTGAATATCTGCTGAATATTTATGTGTTTATTTTAACTTTTTTAATATAATTACAAGAAATATTTCACTTGTTCAGTCAGAGTGCCCCCAGTTTTAAGATTAAATTGTCTGCCATTTCCTTAGAAGTAATGCAAGAAAGAGAATGACTTTTATAATCCGGAGAAACACTACTAATGATTGGTGGGGGAAACATAGCGTGCAGGAATTAAAATTGCATGGGGATTCACCTACACTTGGTCCTTAAAATACATTCCCCCCAATTTTTTTTCCCTATGAATTGGAATGTCACTAGAAAAATTTATTAAACCAAAATGTCTCCTTTTTTTCTCATTCCCAACGTTAGTTTGATAAATATTGTAAAAATAGAGTGTCAGCATGACCTATCAAATTGCAAGTTTAATGTTTTTTAATGTTGTTGATTCTATTTTTTTTAATTTTCACATATTGAAATAATTTTTTTTTTAGAATTGCTGATTTAAAATGTTAACTGGATATTTGTATTTTACATGTCTACGGTGACTCAATCTTCCAGTTCATAATAATTCTAATTGGAGGGGGGAATTCCAGCCAAATTTAGCATGCAGGGAGGAACATTATATATTGCTCTTATTTTATATATGGATTTTTCTAGAATTTTTATCAATGTTGTATAAAATCATGGCCATGTTCTCATTATTTGGGACTTCACAACATTGAGCACAAACTGCTGTCTGAGCCACATGTAAACGTGTGAGATTAAGATTATCACTCTATGTGTTGAATGTCTTGTCCTTATTCTTTTCTTTCTTTGTTATTCATTCTGTAAAAAAAATGCATCCATCATGCTTTTAAAATATGCTTTAATAAAGCAAAACACATACAAAGAAGAAAAAAACTGCACAATTTTTATGGGGGAACAGTTCTCTCATTAGGTAACAACTATACCGTAAAATTAAGAGAATCTCAATTCCCCAAAAAATAACTGGTTCCAAACTTTTCTTTTTTGGTTTTGCCTGCCATATTTTCCTTTTATGAAAGAATATGGGTTGGAAAACAAAATGCTTGTTCTAATACTAAAGAATGTGTGTTTTAAGAGTCTTGATGTGTTAAGAGTGTATATGTATGTGTTTTTGTATTCACCACTAACAATGCCGGCCATGTCTCTCACGTTTCTTGTCGTTCTTTACATAATGTTACAACTTCTTTGTTATCACATTTAGGCACAAACAAGATGGGTAAGTAATGATGAAATGAAGCAGATTGAAAAAGAAATTTTCCAAAAAAAAAAATGTATGAGTGATGCACCATCTGCATTTAAAACTTAACTCTATTACTCGACCACCAAAAAAACCAAACCTTCAGGGAAAATTTTTGTGTTCACTCATTGTCATTGTAGACTGCATCTTGTAATTTATGAATTTATGATTAAAATCACAAAGGTGAATTCCTACCATTTCTATTTATATAACCACCATCTACCACTTGTTAAGTACAGTGAGTTATTTTTAGTTTCTAATTTTAGTTTTATTTTCGTGTTTCACTTTGACAAAAAACCTTTTGTATTGTATACCGTTTAATTTTTCACATATATATCTTCATATTATATTGAGTGTTCGTATTGTATAGACACAGTTCAACAAAAATTTTCCCTCTGTATTTGTTCATGGCATAACATTCAGTTTGATTGCTAAATGGTTTTACTGGGAGATTTTATTTACAGTAAATTAAAACATTTTATAAATTTTGCATAGTGATTTTAGTGTTAAAAAAGGTTATGCTTGTGGGGTTTTCAAACTTTAATTATTTTGGCTCTTTTTTTTCTTTTAAATCCAGTGTTGCCATTAAAAAAAAAAGAAATTTATGAAAAATATAAAGGAAAATTGTAACCATTTTTTTTCCCATTAAGTGTTCATACTTGTTTTGTATGCCCGGGGAAAAAATATTTGTTCATAATTTGAAAAAATCACATCAATAAATGCATTTTCTATGCATCTTGGAGTAAAAAAGATCTTTTTTTTTATTTACTTAAAAAGGAGAAATCTTTATTAGGAATTCAAGATCTTTTTTTTTTTTGACAGTCATTAACTAAAAATGACCCTTTCTAGGTTTTAAGTGCATTGGGTGCTTATTTGGGTAAATATGATATTTCTTTGTCCTTTTTTTTTAAAAGTAAGCTAGCATTTACAATTTTTAAATTCATTTATTCATTTTAAAAGTACAAGTGCTTATAAAGTATTTGAAATAAACCATTAAATTTTCTGTTTTGTCAATTAAAAAAAGGGGAAAAAAACCTTTTGTTTTCCTAGTAATCTGAATTTGACTTTTAGGGTAACGAGAGTATCACAGTTTGGCCTCCTTTTGCTGCATTACGTGTACATTTTTGAATTATGCATTTTTTCTTTCTATACTCTTTGGCATGAAATACAGTATACAGAAATATTGTATGAGGAAAGGACTATATTCTGTAGTGGCCAGTATATGCCCCCAAAATAAAACTTTGATGGAGAAATCTTTAATTATGTTCTAAACCAGGTGGATATTTGCAGACTTCAAAGCATTAAATATTTTTATCAACTATGACATCATTAGTTAGATATGACGTCAATAAAATGACGTAAATTCCAAAATGCAATGATTTTGAGAGAAAATAGTGTATTTTACGTCGGTATTTTGATTGGAAATTATCGAGCGCAGGTCTGCTCAGACTAGATATTTTGATATAATGTGTAGAATGATAATATCAATGAAATATGTGAATATGGAACCTGAGCAAGCTTGCGCTCTATAAATACTATAGTCAAATTTGAACAAACTCTGTGCATTTTGCCCTCTATTTAAAAAAAAAAACGGAAATCCAAATAGTTTGTGACGTCACAGAGACAAGAAAAGCCAACTAATTTTTCCAATTTCATAATATATTGTCTTAATTTGGATTATTTTATACAATATATGCACCTTGCTCATTTCAAGAGATTTTCAAAATTTGACTATTATGGGGGCAGGAATACGCCCTTACCGTATATAGTTCTTTTATATATTTTGCTTCAATTACTTTTGAGAATGTTATGCTATGAATGAATACTTGTTCCTTGGAGTTAAGAGCTAGTCTAAAGTTCTGATGCAGTGTGAAGTGACACCTCTAATGGTAAAAAAAAAAAAACAAGATTATCTTTCGATGTGAAATAACAATAAATGTGTATCTTGTTATGTAAGTGTGTGTGGAGGAAAAATTATGCACAATTCAATCACTAGGGAAATCCAATCTTCCAATTTTCAATCAAAGAGTTTGCCTTTCTTTTGCCCCAATCATACTACCCGGGGGTATTTATTATTCTAAAGAAAAAAAAATATTAAGGGAAATAAGGTCATTATGTCAGATCAGAAGTTTGGAAGGTGTAGTTATTTTGAGGAATGTAGAATAAACGAAGGTTATGAGAGTTTGAGTATGCTTTATGAAGGAATTATGGGAATGGCTAAAGCAACTGGAGGATATTGACTGGAAATGAAGACTAGAATGGGTATTTGAAATTAGGACAAGAGGAAAAGGATTTGAAATAAAGACTAGATGACTAGGACTTGAAATAAGAATTACAGAATAACCTGAGTGAAAAGTGAGGACTTAAAGGTATTATAAATGAGGATTGTTTATTAATAAAAATAGAAATGAAGGGTACAAATAGACATGGGGACTATGGATGAAGGGTGCAAGTAGACATGGGGACTACCGATGAATGGTGCAAGAAGACATGGAACTAAAGATGCAGGGTGCAAGTAGACATGGGGACTTTGGATGAAGGGTGCAAGGAGACATGGGGAACTATAGATGAAAGGTGCAAGTAGACATAGGGACAATAGATGAAAGGTGCAAGTAGACATTGGGACAATAGATGAAGGGTGCAAGTAGACATTGGGACAATAGATGAAGGGTGCAAGTAGACATTGGGACAATAGATGAAGGGTGCAAGTAGACATTGGGACAATAGATGAAGGGTGCAAGTAGACATTGGGACAATAGATGAAGGGTGCAAGTAGACATGGGACAATAGATGAAGGGTGCAAGTAGACATGGGACTATAGACGAAGGGTGCAAGTAGACATGAGGACTTAAGATGAAGGGTGCAAGTAGACATTGGGACAATAGATGAAGGGTGCAAGTAGACATGGGGACTTTAGATGAAGGGTACAAGTAGACATGGGGACAATAGATGAAGGGTGCAAGTAGACATGGGGACTATAGATGAAAGGTGCAAGTAGACATGGGGACAATAGATGAAGGGTGCAAGTAGACATGGGGACTTTGGATGAAGGGTGCAAGGAGACATGGGGAACTATAGATGAAAGGTGCAAGTAGACATGGGGACAATAGATGAAGGGTGCAAATAGCCCTGAGACTATAGATGAAGGGTGCAAGTAGACATGGGACTATAGATGAAGGGTGCAAGTAGACATGGGGACTGTGGATGAAGGGTGCAAGTAGACATGGGGACTACCAATGAATGGTGCAAGAAGACATGGAACTAAAGATGCAGGGTGCAAGTAGACATGGGGACTTTGGATGAAGGGTGCAAGGAGACATGGGGAACTATAGATGAAAGGTGCAAGTAGACATAGGGACAATAGATGAAGGGTGCAAGTAGACATGGGACTATAGATGAAGGGTGCAAGTAGACATGGGGACAATAGATGAAGGGTGCAAGTAGACATTGGGAAAATAGATGAAGGGTGCAAGTAGACATGGGGACTTTGGATGAAGGGTGCAAGGAGACATGGGGAACTATAGATGAAGGGTGCAAATAGACATGGAGACTTTGGATGAAGGGTGCATGTAGACATGGGGACTATAGATGAAGGGTCTAAGTAGACATGGGGGCTATAGATAAAGGGAGTTAGTATACATGGGGACAATAGATGAAAGGTGCAAGTAGACATAGGGACTATAGATGAAAGGTGCAAGTAGACATGGGGACTACCGATGAATGGTGCAAGTAGACATGGAACTAAAGATGCAGGGTGCAAGTAGACATGGGGTCTATAGATGAAGGGTGCATGTAAAACATGGAGACTATAGATGAAAGGTGCAAGTAGACATGGAGACTATAGATGTAGGGTGAAAGGAGACATGGGGACTATAGATGAAGGATGCAAGTAGGCATGGGGACTTTAGATGAATGGTGCAAGTAAACATGGGGTTATAGATGAAAGGTGAAAGTAGACATGGGGACTATAGATGAAGGTTCTAAGTAGACATGAGGGCTCTAGATGAAGGGAGTAAGTATACATGGGGACAATAGATGAAAGGTGCAAGTAGACATGGGGATTTTAGATGAAGGGTGCAAGTAGACATAGGGACTGTAGATGAAGGGTGCAAGTAGACATGGGACTATAGATGAAGGGTGCAAGTAGACATGGGGACTACCGATGAAGGGTGCAAGTAGACATGGAACTAAAGATGCAGGGTGCAAGTAGACATGGGGATTTTAGATGAAGGGTGCAAGTAGACATAGGGACTGTAGATGAAGGGTGCAAGTAGACATGGGAACTTAAGATGAAGGGTGCAAGTAGACATGGGGACTATAGATGAAGGGTTTAAGAAGACATGGGGACTATAGATGGGGAATCATGAAGAAGGGAAGGGATTTATCAATATGGAAGAAAAGGACAAACTGATTAGATTGAAAAGCAGATGTCCAGTTAGAATATGGCCATTAGATTTTCAGGTCTTTAGATGTGATTGAATTGTGCAGACTGGTACATGTATAGAATGAGAGGCTATTGTTTTGTTTTGTTCAAAGTCTGGTGTTGATGTTAGATACTTCTATCTCTTCTCTTCTATCTTATACTTGAATTTCAAATTTGGGTTGCTAGATAGATAATTGATGCCAGTTTTGTGCTTCTGGGCTTTAAGTCTGCCGCGAAACTTTCTGCTCTTTCTTCGTCTTGTCCTATTGAGTCTGGTGTAAGTGTTTGTCTTCATGTAAACCTTCCTCTTATATAGGACTCTCAGTGGAAACTTGGGTGGCTAGGAACATAAAATGTTGATTGTTCTACACAACCCCCCCCCCCCCCCCTTCCCCCATTTTTAATTTAAAAATTGATTGGTAATTTTGTTTCATGATAAGAATTCTCATTAGGATATAAGGGTTATTTAAATAAAGATATAAAGTTTGCATTACAATGATACTGTCTACTTTGATTAGAAAAAAATTGAAATCTGTGTTACTTACAACTATTTTAACACATAATTATTGCAAGTTGGTCCCTCTCTACCTTCACCCTTTCCCCTTCTTTAAAATATAATCAGTTTAATGTAGAATTTATTCATAATCTTAGATATAAATGTCAGTGTGTATTATTTATTTGTTCTCTACAAAGCATAAACTTTCCCAAGTGCTAATCATCGTAAATTAACAGCTCATCCATCATATTATGTTGCTCCTTTATTTTTAATGCCTGAGAAAGGAAAACAGCTATTTTATATACATATATGCATCTGTTCATTATCATGCTTGTGCTGAGATTTTTATTTGGATTTCAAAGTTAGTATCATCTTGTCATAGACAAATGTACACAGATTCACAAATTAAGGGAAACTGAGATTTTTTTTTAAAGCTTTGCTAAAATTTCCACCAAGCACCTGCCTAGTGAGACGTGAGCACACACCCTGCCCATCCTAGTCACACATACAGCCAAGAAGTGCATGAAGTCAATTATACACACTACACTTATTAAATTAATATCTCTTTGTTTTGTCTCCCCAAACAGCTTATTATTTGACAGTGCAGACAATTTAAGTTCCTTACAGCAAAATTTTTGACAAGTGTAATTAGACCAAAAAAGTTAAGATGTTGCCCAATGAGAAAAAATGTGACTTTTTTACAGTGCAGAACAGCCATGACCCTTAAGGCCACGCAAGCTTGAAGTTGTTTTTTTTTTTTTGTGACCCATTTGTTCAAAAGTACACTTTTTGTCTAAACAGAAGATAATGCTACTCTAAATATTTTAATGTGGTTAAAAAAAACCAAGAGAACTCGAAATTGTGGTCATGATTTGAAGTATTAATACAATGGTTATATGTTGTCTATAGGTCTTCTGTTTTTCTCTTTTGATGATATGTTTAATAATTGCTAGCAAATGATCCAATAAAAAATTGTGGTTTTCCAATTTTAATGAATTCTAAGGAAGGGGACTGGTATATCAGGCAGTGCACAAGGAAGGAAACCCTTCACAAGATCATTTCATTGTTTATGTTGAAAAGAGTTTTGAAATATTTTTTATTCCCAAAATTAAAATGATAGGTTTGAATTTTGAGGCCATTTTTCTGTCAGTCCAGAATTTTTAAAAATATGGAGTGTAATTTTTTTTATGCCCTAGATTAACATACCATTGTATAAGAAATTGTATACATATATACTGTAAGATTTCATATTTCAACAAAAGTGGGTAAACATACAAATAATATTGGCAGTAATAAATTAATAGTACGCCATACATGTATTACAAGTAAAAGACCTAAGCAGATACATTTTTATTCTTAAAATTTAACTTTTTTTCTTTAACAAAAGCTATAACTTGCAGATTTGTGAAATAAATGCAGTAAATGTGTTGTGAGGATGTCTTTGTTGCTACTGTAGTTATTTATGTAACATCATATATCAGATACCCCTTCATTGTACTGTAACAGTCATTACTTGCTTTTAATCCACAATCATATTCATGTCAGTAAATCTCTTTTCATGGAATGAAAGTCATTTATTTTTGAAAAATTTTATCCTCCAGGGTATTTTCATTCTGTAAATCATGCATTAATTATAATACATGTTCTCTTGGTTTTTTGATTAATTTCTTAATAATATCATATCATCTGTTTAATTTTCAGTCTTTTGTACATATTTTTTTTCTTCTTCTTTAATGTCGTGCTTTAGTCTTGAGGAAAGGTGTTTTTTGATCATGTGTTTTGTGTTTATAGTCAGCAAATATCTGTAGTAATCACAATTGGCTTGTATTGCTTAATTATCACAGGACAGATTACGGTCCCCCAAAACCAATGCCGGATTTGCCCACAGATTTGCCCACATCGTGAGTTTGACCACATACCACCAAAAATTTTAAAGAGTCGGCCAACCATTTTTTGTAGCTAGTGTAAAATGCACCTCTGCCTATAATCGCCAGCAACACTAATAATGTGCATCTTGCATTATCTGAAAGAGTTTTTAAACAAGATTTGCATGAATTTCAACGGAGATGATCTCAACAGATAAATAGATTACTGAAGAAGTGGATAACAATTTTTTCATGACCCTCTTAAGAAAATTGTTAAAAATGATGAAAATATGCTTATACTAAATGCAGAAATTTTTATAAATTCAAAATTCATATTATTGATGTTGTTTGCTTTTATAGAGAGAAGGCAAGATATTGTCCATAAATTTAGTCGCTTTCAGTGTATTTTTATGCAAGAAAAAACCCTGAATTATCAACTTTGGCATTCTATAAAAGAAAGAAAAATCAAAATGTAAAATTGTCTAAATTTACAATAATTTTTGCACCAGCTAAATTCATGCTTAAAATTCTTTCTCATTTTGGCTTGAGATTACAAAGTAAAATTTTTCATAATTTATATTTTTATATTTTTTTTCTTTATTCCTCAACAGAATTTTGAATTTTCTATATCCTTTACTATTATATAATGAGGTGCATGAAACATGGCATTCATAATGGCTTTCACCTAATGCACTCTAGGTTTTTGGCTTGCATGGATTAATTTTTTTATTGACTTCAAAATTTTAAGAATCCATGGAAAATATACCCTCAATTTGAATGACTGGAAATTCAGAATGTGCTGTCTTCTTGGTATTTTGGTGTTTCCTTGAGCAGTCGTGATTCCCCAAGGGCTAGTTACAAAATAGCACCCATATACCGTATATTAAATGCCTCATATCAATCGGAAAAAGAGATGGTTGAATTTGTTCTTTTCTTAAATGTGATAAGCTTTACAGCCAGTTCACCATACTTAGGTAGTTGCAAAAACATCTTACTTTTATATGCTTGTACACCTATATATTATTGTAGAAAATCATCTTCTAAAACTCCCATTAGTAGACTTACCTACACTCCATGTAGTGCTGATATATTTTCACTAAAACTGATCATCAAATTTCATACAGATAACCTTTTCCATGCTCATGGAAGCAGGAAGATTGTGATTTTATGGTGTAGCTAGTTTTGAGCAATTTCAGTGGCTGAAACCAAGAGGTTACCCAGCAGTCAAGTTGATTAACTCAGACTAGTCATTTTCATGGTTTTTTCAGACATTCTTTTCCAGCTTTGGGAATAGGACTGAGGCCTTTTCATTCTTTCGACTTGAGCATGGCTGTTAACCCCCCTACTACCTTCCCCCCCTCTCTCACACTTCCTTCCAGAATTGTGCATAATCTATGATGTGATGGACTTGAATAATACTGCTATTGTCAGACCTATGAGTATAGAGTGATGCTACCTGTATATATATATATGTATATATTTAGATAGTATTTTGTAAACACATTACGAAGTGTATATGCCTTTATGAAATTCATTTATATATTCTGTTTTCTTGTATATCTGACAGCTAGCTAGTCTATATGCATGTGAAGATCATTGGATTGTTGCACTTGTAATAACTTAAAAGAGATTATTTCCTTTTCATTTTAATTTACATTCTAAACAATTTATAAGCTTAACACATTAAAACAAAAGTGCAGCCTCCAAGAATCTTGAAATGCACGATATATTTGATACACATTTTGAGTTGATCTAATTCACAGCACTGATTAATCACGAGTTTTTATATTGATTGTGTTTAAGCACTTTTTTACCATTAACACGAGTGATTATTTCAGGAATATGATTCATTAACTTAACACCTATATAATTTATTTAATTTATAGCTAAATAATATGAAATTACCCATTGTTAAATTTGTTCATTCGATTTGGTCAACCTTAAGAAAACATGGAGAAAGATCTCCTTTTCTAATAAATTTATAAAGCTGTCGATGAAAATGATCATTTAAATGAATAATAATTTTCTAATACATTTCTTATAGAATGGACAGCAAAAAAGCAGAAAGACTGTTCAAAAAAAACCGCAAGTTCAAGAACTTTAATATCACACGTCCTACCAGACTGCCAAAAAATCAGAACCCTAAGTTTGCTCGACAGAGAGCCAAGCGGTATAGTCGAGAGGCCTCCATGCAGTATAACTCATCTGTCCCTGGCCACCTCAAGTTCAATTTAAATGATTCTCTGGAAAATGACACAGATGAAGCGAATGAGACAGAAAAAGATCTCCCCTTTAATAAGGTCATTGTTCAGACTCCAGTACAAAAGAATGATATGAGTTACATTATCAGCAACTTAGGCCACTTTCAGGACTATAGAATTGAGGTATGTTAACCTTAGCTCAGAAAAGATTCATAAATTAAAACATAATTTTATTCTGAACAGTATTGATGTCCATGGTGAAACTTATTTTTTTAATAATTTTCTTATTTTGTAACTGGGTAATATATGTTAAAGTCATTACATTCATATTAGCAATGACAATGAAATGACAGGCAGAATCATTGTAAATTTACCGGTATGTAATATATTTCATTTATTTTTTCTATTGCAATGACACTTTTTTTTTAAATTCAAGCCTATGATTTATGTGATGTGAATTTTTCTGTATTCAATAGGTGATAGCTTGTCAGGAGAGAGATCCTCGGGATCCAGCCAGAATTAAGCTCTGCAGTATCAGGGCTATATCACTGGCCAGGACCTTACCCGACAGTAAGTGGCATTGGCTTTTCCCTCAAAAATAGGTTGTGGAAGAAAGGGGTGTGTATTTAACTCACCTGAGCCGAAGGTTCAAGTGAGCTTTTCTGATCAAACTGTTGTTGTTGTGGTTGTTGTCATCTGAAACTTTTCAATTTTTCGTCGTCTTCTCCAGAGGCACTGGGCAAATTTCAATCAAACTTGGCATACAGTATCTTTGGGTGAAGGGATTCAAGTTTCTTCAAATGAAGGGTTGTGCCCTCTTCCAAGGGGAGATGATAAAGAAAATAGTAAAAACTGGTTGGGTTATTTAAAAATCTTATGAACCACTAGGCCAGAAAAAATGAAACATATACATGTATAAAAATTCCATGGCATTGAGTACATTCAAGTTTGTTGCAATCATGACTCCAGAGGGTAGGGATGGGCCACTATGGGTGATCAAAGTTTACAATCTAATCTAAGCAATCTGATTTTAACTTGAGAATATATAGGGAAAAGCTTTAAGATCTCCTCAAGAACAGCAAAGGCATAATGAGTCATATCAATATTGAAGCATCTTAAGGAGGGTAGATTCAGGTTCGTTCAAGTGATGACCCGTGGGGGTAGGAATAGGATGGGGCCACACAGGGGTTCAAAGTTTTTCATTTGAATATATTGGAAAAAATCTTTTAAAAAAATCTTTTTCTCAAGAACAGAAAAGCCATGATTAGTCATGTTGATAAGGAAGCATCCTCAAGTAGTGTAGGTTCAAGTGATGACCCCTTGGGGTAGGGTTGGGCCACATTGGGCAACTAATTTTAACTTGGGAATATATGGGGAAAAACTTAAGAATCTTCTCAAGAACAGTAAAGGCGTGATTATTAGTCCCCTACCGGTGAAACCGGAGGGGACTATAGGTTTCCTCTGAGACTGTCCGTCCATCTGTCTGTCTGTCCGTCTGTCTGTCTAGCTGTCTGTCTGTCCCTCTGTCTGTCAGTCTGTCCCACTTGGTTTTCCGCACTTTTTTCCTAAACGCTTGCAGATATTGAGCTGATTTTTGGTTTGTCAGTGTAACTTGATGAGTTACAGATCAAGTTTGCATTTCATTCCGCTTCATTGATTTTTGACGGAATTATGGCCTTTTCAATTTTTAGGGGTTTTCCGCAATTTTCTTCTAAACGCTTTCAGATATTGAGCTGATTTTTAGCTCACCTCGACGAAGTCGAGATGAGCTTATGCTATACCGTCGGCGTTAGCGTCGGTGTCCCGGTTAAAGTTTTAGGAGCAAGTCCCATTCCCAAGTAACTATAAGCCCTGCATGGACCAAACTTGCATGGATAATGCATCTAGGGATGGACACTACCACACTTGCTTCGGATGCTGGATCTGACCTAGATTTTCCAGATGAATGACCAGGTTAAAGTTTTTGGCGCAGGTCCATTCCTAAGTAACTAGAAGCCCTACCTGGACCAAACTTGCATGGATAATGCATCTAGGGATGGACACTACCACACTTGCTTCGGATGCTGGATCTGACCTAGATTTTCCAGATGAATGACCAGGTTAAAGTTTTTGGAGCAGGTGCATTCCCAAGTAACTATAAGCCCTACCTGAACTAAACTTGCATGTATGATGCATCTAGGGATGGACACTACCACATTTGCTTCGGATGCTGGATCTGACCTAGATTTTCCAGATGAATGACCACTGCAGGTTAAAGTTTTTGGAGCAGGTGCATTCCCAAGTAACTATAAGCCCTACCTGAACTAAACTTGCATGTATGATGCATCTAGGGATGGACACTACCACATTTGCTTCGGATGCTGGATCTGACCTAGATTTTCCAGATGAATGACCACTGCAGGTTAAAGTTTTTGGAGCAAGTCCCATTCCCAAGTAACTATAAGCCCTGCATGGACCAAACTTGCATGGATAATGCATCTAGGGATGGACACTACCACACTTGCTTCGGATGCTGGATCTGACCTAGATTTTCCAGATGAATGACCAGGTTAAAGTTTTTGGAGCAGGTGCATTCCCAAGTAACTATAAGCCCTACTTGGACCAAACTTGGATGGATGATGCATCCAGGGGTGGACACTACGCTTGCTTCAGATGCTGGAACTGAGCTAGATTTTCCACATGTGAGACCAGGTTTAGATTTTGAAGCAGTCCTGTTCCCAAGTAATTACCGGTATAAGCCCTACCTGGACCAAACTTGCATGGATGATGCATCTAGGGATGTACATTAACCAACCTGCTTCGGATGCTGGATCTGACCTAGATTTTCTACATGAGTGAATTTTAGCCATTTTTAAACCAAATTAGCATGGATGATGTATCTAGGGATGGACACTTCCAGACTTGCTTTGGATTCTGAATCTGACCTACATTTTGCAGATGATATTGTGGCCTGTTATGATTAAACTTGCATAGATGGTGCATCTAAGGATGAAAACTTCCAGACTTGCTTTGGATGTTAGAACTGACCACAATTTTCTTGATTACTAAACAGGTTAAAAGTTTAATGAGCAGGTCTATTTCCAAATAACTACAAGTCATACTTAAACCAATCTTGCATGGATACTGATCTTGGGATGTACCCTAACTAGAAAAAAAAAATATGTGAAATTTGCCTTACTTATAGATAACATTCGTCAAGGTGAGCTTCGTAATCTTTGATTACCTATGTTTGGTATGTGACTTTACTTTGATTAGTTATAGATCAAGTTTGCATTTCGCCCCGCTTCATTAATTTTTTGATGGAATTATGGCATTTTCAATTCTTAACGGGAACCAGATTACACTTGCCGGTAGGGGACTAGTATTGCTAATGCAATACTTTCAGAATGCTTGTTCATATTGTTGTTGAATCCTCAGGTAGTGGAGATTCAAGTTTGTTCAAATAACCGTGAGGGTAGGGTGGGGCCACACTGGCTGATATGTTTTACATGTGAATATATTGGAAAAAATCTCCTCACAACAGCAATGCCATGGTATGTGATATTAATATGCAAGCATTCTAAGATAGTGTGGATTCAAATTTGTTCAAATCTTGGCCCTGGGGGTAGGGTGGGGCCACAATATGGGATCAAAGATTTACATGGAATATATTAAAAAAATCTTTTCAAGAACACCAAGGTTGTGATTGATCATAATATACAAGCATTTTCAGGTAGTTCATATTAAAGTTCAAATCATGACCCCAGGGGTAAGATAGGGCCAGAATAAGGGCTCTTATTATTGCAAAGGGATTATATATAGAAAAATATCTTTTTTTTTTTTTTTTTCTTTTCAAGAACAGTAGGGCCATGATTAATAATATTGATATGCAGCCATTCTCAGGTAATGCAGATTCAAGTTTGTTCCAGTCATTGCCATTGTGGTTAGGGTGGGGCCACAATAGGGGGTCAGTTTTACATTGGATTACATGCAAAATTCTTTTAAAATCTTCTTTACAAAAACTTTGAGGGTTATGATTAGTCATATTTACATGTTTATGCAGGCATCTCCAGGTAGTGCAGATCAAGAGATTTGAATAAGAATCCCTAAAAGAGGTTGGGAGGGGGGTTTAAAAGTCATTCATATTATTTTACAAGCATCCCCAGGTAGTAAAGATTCATTTAAAACATGGCCCTAGGGGTAGGGTGATGCTACAATATAGTATCAACAAATTTTATAGGAATATAGAAAAAAAATTGTAAAAATCTCCATCACAGCAAGGCTGTCCCAGGTGAGCATTGTGGCCGATGGGCATCTAGTTAACTTTGCCTATGAATGAATTTTTATTATTTTTTATTTATTTATTTTATTTATTTACTTTTTTTGCAGAAAAGGCTGATAACATTGATGTAAATTCAATCAAGATTTACAAAATGACTAATAATACTGGGGAAGTAATTGTGAACTGGGATGAGCCTAAAAAACCCAATGGGCTTATTCTGAGCTATGATATTCAGTACAGCAAAGTCATCAAAGATGTAAGTTAAATAATAATGATAATGTTTTGATGAAATTTTTTTCCACCACTATGAGAAAAGTATGACAATATTTTTGCACCATAAATATAGAATGAAAGACTTCACACTTCATTATCATGATGAAATTTGTGGCTGTATTAAATGGTTCTTTCATGTTGGTTTTTGTCACAATGAATTGGAGGTGATGAGATTGTATTATTAAAATTTAATATATTTGATGCCATAGGTGAAACCCAATACTTTATGTGTACCTCACCTGAAGTACAAGAAGATTCATGGCTATAAACTACAGAAGCTGGAACCTGGAAATTATTCTGTACAGATAAGAGCCACATCCCTGGCCTTTACAACCAATTACACTGAGCCTAAATATTTCTTTGTTTCTGCTCCAGCAACTGGTAGGTTACTAATTTTGACTTTCTTTAAAGTGGTTGTTTTATGTAGATATCATCACTAGACCTTTATTTTTGTCTCTAAATAAAGAAGAGGTTTAAGGAAATATTGCAAAGGTAGTGTAGAAGTTCAGAGTTTGCCTGCAAGAAAACTGATCCTGAAGTTAAGTGACCTCAGTGCATCATGAATGCATATAAATTCTTGGTTCTGCAAAATAATAAAATGCATGTACTTGATCATAGTGTATGAAAGTTGTTTAGCTCTGAAGTTGTTGAGCTGAGACAGTTAATACTATCATTTCTTATCTGTAGAATCTGAGTGGCCTCCTGAAACAATCATCGCTGTCACAGTATCAGGGGTTCTCCTCCTAATTCTCATCGTCGTCATTGGCGTGTGGCTCATCGCTCGTAGCAGATTCAAGAAGATACCTGACAGACCAGATTTTACTTCTATCAACCCTGATTATGAACGTATGACATTTTTAACAATTTTATTTAAAATTATTCAAAATTAAGAATAAATTTTCTAAAAGGAAATGTTTGAAATGATGTAAATCCTTCTAATGTAGACAGTATTATTCATTCACAACAAATGCTAAAATAAATATGCCAGCCAAAATGGATTAGCACACTACTATTCTCTATGCAGAAATGGAAGGGGGGAGCTGCAGAATGTGGTTGCTTGTAGGGCATATTGGTTAGAATAAAGGTCTTCTTTCCTTCTAGAGTCACCGTGTAAGGAATTGATCCTTACATTAAAGTCTCTAATCCCACTGTGGGATGTGGAGACTTGTCCTTCAGTTGAGACCATATAAACTTAGGTCACACATTTCAGTAGGTGTTTATTGGCACAAAAAAAGATACCTCACTGCTCAGTGACCATAAGCACAAAACATAGGTCTCAATTATCATCTTTCCTCAAGCAACTGATGACATCCCAAGAAGAGTAAAATATTTTGGAAAATGTAAAACAAACTCATAAATAATTTGGGAAGTGAGAATTGACTTCTCTATCGCTTAAATTAATATGTAAACAATTTAGTTGGATTACTTCTCTTTAGTAGATCAAGTTGAGATGATTTCAGTATAAACCTTTTGGAGTCAACTGAGGCTTTTGACCTTGAAAATATTAAATTGAAAGTTTTAAATCTTTGGGTCACATCTCATTACTATCGTCTAGAAATGTGATGAAGATAAATTGGGATACATTTCTGGATCTATTGAACATGTCAACCAGTTATGTCATTGCTGTTATTGTTAAATTGTGTTACTTCTTCAAAACAAACTTGTGGTCATTGAACTGCATATAAGTATGATATGTATTAAGGCAAAATACTTGCAAATGTAAATGCTAGATGATATCGATAATGCAAATTAGATGTTTTCTTTTTTTTTCTTTTTGGGTGAATTAAGTGCATCTTTTGTATCTTTGTTTTTAAAATCATATTTCAGAATTAAGATACTTCTTTCAGATAATGGTGAAAAAGAGAGATTGTGAAATTGAAATGTAATCCTATAAAAAAATTAATATTCAAAGAAGCAGGAAATGAGTCGTATCTGATTGCACTTTGCAAGTTTATTGACTTTTATGTTCTAATGCTGAACATTTGATACAGATTACAACCCTGATGAATGGGAAGTAGAGCGCGACAAGATTCAGCTGATTCGGGAACTGGGACAAGGTTCATTTGGTATGGTGTATGAAGGTGTTGCCAGAGACCTGTATGGAAAGGGAGGGGAAATCAAAGTTGCTGTCAAGGTAATTCGTGAATTCAAGAGAGTGTTGAGATAATTCATTAATTCAAGAGAAAGGGTGTCAAGATAATTATACCCCCCGCAAATGAAGTTTAGGGGGGGTATATTGGAATCAGCTTGTCCGTCTGTCTGTCTGTCCGTCCGTCTGTCTGTAGACGAGATTTTGTCCGGACCATTTCTTGGAAACTGTTGCAAGGATTTGTCTGAAAATTTGTACACTTATTATTTGCCATATGAAGGTGTGCACCTGGTATTTTCATCATGATGGGATAATTTTTCTGCATTTTACATGTTGTTTTTTTTTCATTTTTATTATGTGGTTTTGTCCGAATCTGTTCCCAGAGACTATTGCATAGATTTGTATGAAAATTTGTATACTTATTATTTACCATATGGAGATGTGCACCTGGTATTTTCAACATTATTTGATAATTTTTCTGCATTTCACAGTTTTTTTTTTTTCATTTTTATTGACTTAGTCATTTCGGGTTCATGTCTAAGGTTTGAGACATAGAATCTAGAACATCTGTACAAAAATGTGAACTACAGCTTAAAACAACTCATTAGAACTAAAAAAAAAATCAAAAAGTATTAAAAACAGTTTTTACATTACACAGCAGATAGTGTAAATCCATTTGTCCCTTGGGAGTAAAGAGTGGACATGCATCCAGTTAAAGATTAATTAATGAGTTCAGTGTGGGAAGCTGTTAGGGCATCTCTGATCAAGCAGATCTCCTGGGAATTGGGCAGAAAGAAATAAAGATCTCTGTTGTCTAAGTCTCCTAATTGTAATTTATGTCTGTCAAAATACATAGTAACTGGAACCAGCCTTTTATTTTTAAAATGAATTTGATATAAAGGTATTAAGATCAACTTGATTTTGTATAATTAATTATGATCATTTTTTTTTCAACACTCAGTTTGCAGAGTGTCATGTCTCACAAAGATGACAGATAGTTGCAAACTATTTTTTCAATGTAATAAAAAACACTGTAATTATTGGAATTGATGTTTTATTAGGCTGCACCTTAGTTTCATTCATTAAAAAAAATATAATGAGTAATTAAATTTTCACTCTAAATGTTTAAGCAAATTGTGAACACCTCTCACATCTAGAAAACATTAGTGATTTGGTACCTTTTCTGAAAAACCCAGCAGTGGGTATTTGTCCCTTTTGGACAGTTCTAGTTTATAAATTCAAGAGAGACTGTCGAGATAATTCATTAATTCAAGAGAGACTGTTGAAATAATTCATTAATTCAAGAGAGAGTGTCGAGATAATTCATTACTTGTTTGATATGATGTATTTTGAAAAGGGGTATTTAAAATGATATTGCTTACTGTAGATTCCTAAATATACGCGAGGAATTAATTATCGCGTAATTACACGAGAAGCACCACTCGCGAAATAAAATTACTTGCTTTTTAGCTCACCTGAGCTGAAAGCTCAAGTGAGCTTTTCTGATCACCTGTTGTCCGTCGTCCGTCCGTCTGTAAACTTTTCACATTTTCAACTTCTTCTCAAGAACCAGTGGGCCAATTTTAACCAAACTTGGTACAAAGTATCCTTGGGTGAAGGGGAGTTTAAATTGTTAAAATAAAGGGCCAAGTCCCCTTACAAGGGGAGATAATCAAGAAAAGACAAAAATAGGGTAGGGTCATTAAAAAATCTTCTTCTCAAGAACCACTGGACCAGAATAGCTGAAACTTATGTGGAAGCATCCTGGGGTAATGTAGATTGTAAATTGTTCAAATCATGACCCCTGGGGGTAGGGTGGGGCCACAATAGGGAATCCAAGTTTTACATTGAAATATATAGGATAAATCTTTCAAAATCTTCTTCTCAAGAACCACTGGACCAGAATATCTGAAACTTATGTGGAATCATCCAGGCATCGTGTAGATTCTAAATTGTTCGAATCGTGACCCCCGGGGGTAGGGTGGGGCCCCAATAGGGAATCCAAGTTTTACATTGAAATATATAGGAAAAACCTTTAAAAATCTTCTTCTCAAGAACCACTGGACCAGAATAGCTGAAACTTATGTGGAAGCATTCTGGGGTAGTGTAGATTGTAAATTCTTCAAATCATGACCCCCGGAGGTAGGGCGGGGCCACAATAGGGAATCCAAGTTTTACATTGAAATATATAGGGAAAATCTTTAAAAATCTTCTTCTCAAGAACCACAGGGCCAGAATAGCTGAAACTTATGAGGAAGCATCCTGGGGTAATGTAGATTCTAAATTGTTCAAATCATGACCCCCGTGGGTAGGGTGGGGCCACAATAGGGAATCCAAGTTTTACATTGAAATATATAGGAAAAACCTTTAAAAATCTTCTTCTCAAGAACCACTGGACCAGAATAGCTGAAACTTATGTGGAATCATCCTGGGGTAGTGTAGATTCTAAATTGTTCAAATGGTGACCCCTGGGGGTAGGGTGGGGCCACAATAGGGAATCCAAGTTTTACATTGAAATATATAGGAAAAACCTTTAAAAATCTTCTTCTCAAGAACCACTGGACAAGAATAGCTGAAACTTATGTGGAAGCATCCTGGGGTAGTGTAGATTCTAAATTTTAAAAATCATGACCCCGGGGGTAGGGCGGGGTCACAGTAGGTATTACAAGGGGAAATCTGGTAAAGAACGGCATAGCCAAAGTTACTCAGGTGAGCGATGTGGCCCATTGGCCTCTTGTATTTTTATGGTGCTGAAATCAATGTAAAATCTCTCGATCAACCGTCCACTCGTGAATTATTGTTCTCGCGATTTGACGTCAAAAGTCATTTTGTGAAAAATAAGGAATCTACAGTATTGTTTTCCCAAATTTGTTCAAAAGTTTGATAATTTTTCCCCATTCAAAACCAACATTTCAAAAAAATGTTGCAAAATCACTGAAAGTTTTTATATGCAATTAAAAAAATGGGAAAAGGGCAACTTTGTTATTTAGCCATTTAATTTTCTTCATTATTGTTTATACCCTTCTGTGTTTGGAGGGAAGAATGAAAACTAAAATAGATTTGTCTTTAAAAATTAGAATGGTTTAAAATTTCAGACTGTCAATGAACATGCTACATACAGAGAGAGGATGGAGTTCCTGAGTGAAGCATCTAGAATGAAGTAAGTACATGTACCACTGTCACCTTGTATAAGCTGTATAATAAAGCTTGATACATATAATTAAAGAAGGGTTTCAGTTGACTGTTTATTTAGAATGAGCAAATATACTGACCATCACAAGAATCGAGTCATCAACAGACCAGCACTGTCTGTGTGAAAATATTCTTTTTATAGGCGACCTTGCAAAGGTGGTACTCTCAAACACTGTTAGCATCAGTAATGCTTAGCATGGGATCTAATGTCACAGAACATGCTTCTACCTGTAAAGAAACTTTGATTCTCAAAAATAATAAAATGTTCTTGTTCATTTATGCTTTGCTATTTCTTGTATTACTTCTACAAATAAAATGTATTCAACTAATTCGATGGTGCATTTTTTACAGTAGTCAATATATTAAAGTGGACTGTTTCTAGGTGTTTTCATCAGTACAAGGTTCAGTTGCTAGGTTTTAGTCTGATGGCCAGCCAGCCCTTCTCCTTATTATATAATACAGACTTCATTGTGACTTTGTGTGATTTTAGGGCCTTTGCCTGTAACCATGTGGTCAGGTTGCTAGGTGTGGTCTCGGATGGTCAGCCAGCCCTGCTAATTATGGAACTGATGGAGAAAGGCGATCTCAAGAATTTTCTCAGGATGCATCGACCAGTGGAAGAAGTGAGTTTGAATCTTACAGTGTTACATATTGAAAGAAATATGTTTGGATAAATATTGAGAGTAAGAAAGTAAAAGTTGAATAAAAATGTCAAGTTAATTATTCCATAGTTAGAATAATTTAACTGTGTCTTGCAGTATGAATTTGTCCAATTTGTTACAATTCGGCACAATTTCTCTTGCTTCTAAGTTATCTGACGTGTTGACTTTTGGAATTATTCATAGTGCATACATGTATGTAGACTATAATTATCTGCCCTGTTTATTTTGCTATATCGCCAGCACATGGAAGGAATTCTCTCGTTAAATTGGGTTTGTAGGACAAAATCATTTTAACAATGTTTTATCCAGTTATTCTTGTGCAATGAAGGATGTTAAGGTGATAGATTAGAGATTGACTTTCCAGTATATTTTCCGTGAGGGGGACTGTTTGAAGTGGACTTTTCTTTATTTTGTTTTTCTTTGGCCTTTGTTTGTGTTTAGCAGAGTTTCAAACATCAGTACCATGTTGTTCTTTAACTTTATTATAAAGGTGGTTTTTATTTCTGTTTACAGGACATTGATTCTACATTTGCTGGAATAAAGGTTGGTATTATCATTAACTTTATTTTACTTGGGTTTCAATTGTTTTATATACATGTAGATGTATTTTTTTGAGATACAAGTGTGAAATTAAACTTATATACATGTAGTTGAAACAGTTTTTGATGATATAAATTACCTGATATTAACAATTTTAAGGCTGATGATTGGACATAGAGAAACTCTCTCTTCAGAAATATTCAGGTGATATATTTATTTTCAGGAAAACATTAGTAGAACACCACCCACCATTAAACGAATTATTCAGATGGCAGGAGAAATAGCTGATGGCATGGCATATTTAGCTGATAAGAAGTTTGTACATAGGGATTTAGCAGCTAGGAATTGTATGGTTGCTGAAGACCTCACAGTCAAAATCGCAGGTCAGTATATACTGGGAGGTAAACATAATATATTACGTTTATTTGACAAAGTAAACAGGTATGATATGCTTACCTAATCTCTTGGTGATAAGCCTAGCAATAAAAAATGAAAGTTACAATATATTTGACTTTATACATGTATATGATGTGAGACTTAGATCTGTGCTCTATAATGTTGCAGATTTTGGCATGACAAGAGACATTTATGAGACAGATTATTATAGGAAGGGGGGTAAAGCATTATTACCGGTGAGGTGGATGGCTCCTGAGTCATTGAAAGACGGAATATTTACCAGTCTGTCTGATGTATGGTAAGTTAGCATCCCCTATGTCTGATGAACTATTCCATATCGAAAGGTGTGAAATATTGCACGATGTATGAAAAAATAGCATTCTCATAACTTCTCTGTTGTTAATTATACAAATTATGAATAATAGAAAGTGTGTTTCAACAGGTCATATGGAGTGGTCTTATGGGAAATGGCCACTCTGGCTGCCCAGCCTTATCAGGGCCTGTCCAATGAGGAGGTCCTGAGGTATGTGCTGAATGGCCGTGTGATGGAGAAACCTGAGGATTGTCCAGACAGACTGTGAGTAGTAGACATTTATATTTATTATATATATATTACAACAGGGTACTTCTCTGTAATTCAACTTGGAAAATGTGTTTGTGTGATTCCTTAGTATACCAGCAACAACAAATAGAGTAAACCAAAACATCAGGAATGTATAAATATGGGAAAATGTACATGTAATTAAAACACTAGCATACATTCATGATTGAATAAAAGTAAGGGATGGTTTTGAGACTCCTTTGCTTTACTATCAAGTAAGGTGTGATGATTTGATCTGAAATTGTCACTCAGTTGGAGTTTAAATAAATTTGAATTCAAATAAATAACTTGTAAATATAAACCAGTGTGGAATAAATTGAAATATCTAATGTTCTGTATGTTACTTGCAGATTTGAATTAATGCAAAAGTGTTGGCGCTATCGACCAAAACAAAGACCAACTTTCAAGGAGATTTTAGAGGAGTTGGTCCCAGAATTGGACCCATCATTTGCCCACAAGTCATACTTTTTCAGTGATGAAAATAAACAAGACTCATTAGAATACATAGAGGAAGGTGATGAAGATGTGGACGAGTCAAAAACGCCATTCATTCAGGATGAGGACGAATGTGACATGAAAGGGGCAGAAGGGGGTGTTGACCTCCATGAGCTCCAGGACCAAGAATTGGATGATGATATAGACATCGGGGTGGATTATTATCCCCCGGACTATCAGGAAGCACAGCATTCGAATCAGAATGGGGAGTTATTCCCTGAGCTGAGGATTGATAAAGTGAATAATGTGTTATATTCTCGTTCACAAGCGGACAAACTGATGCTAAATGGCACAGAGCCTTGTGACTGCATTCTAACGCAGGAGAATAATCCGGATTTACTTCCGGATCATCAGTTTAGTTCTTGTTCCAATCCTTACAGTGCAATAGGGTCAAGTGACGATAGCAAGGATAGCTCAAAGAGTTCCAGTAGCAGTTACGCTCAAATGAACGGCGTCCATATTGCGAACGGACATATTGCCATGCATCACTTAAAAACGACAAAATGCTAGTGTTTTTTTTTTTCTTTCTCTCATTTTATCCTTCATAGTCATGTCTTAAAATAGATGTTATTGTGATCTCATTTCTACCATATTTCATTGTTTTTTCATTTATTATGTCAGTTTTATGAAATTCTTTCCAGATGTGTTGACATGATCTTGGTCAACTCTCTCAAGACTGGTCCTGCTTTTATCATAGACTTTGTGTCAAAACAAGTAAACTTTCGTTTTTTAGTGAGAATGTTTTATTTGGGCATGGGTTGAAATGTATACACTGTTGAATGTATGAATACATTGAGCTCAGTTTTAGTTGTTCTCAGTCCCATTATTACAGATCTAAAGTTTTGAGATTAACTTTAATGATTATATTTTATCATGTGTTACAATTTACTTATTGTGTCATTTGATGCGTTTTTGAGAAAAGAAAACTGACTGTTCTTTAACATCTAAAAATTTCCTTAGTGTAACAGAATATCTAAGATTTTAATTTTGAGAAGGTTTAAATTTTGTCTTAAATTTTACTTTTTTACAATACTTGTTTGTTCAACTAAATTTGATATAAACATTTTTTTTTCTAAACCAAGTTTGTATTTCCTGTTTTCAAGATTGCCTGACATCATATAGCCTGGTATTTTTAGTAATTGGTCATATTTAAGATGTACTTCTGAAATTTTTAAACTAAGAGAAAATTCTGAACACATTTTGATGCTGGCGTTAGAAATTCACTAATATAAATGTAAATACTATTAGAAGTTGTAAAGAAATAATGAAAAGTACAGACATTTTCTCTAGGTTCTTTCAGACAAGCTTTATAGTATAGATGATTTCCCCCTTTAACTAGTCTTAATGTAAAACTGACCATGTAATCAAATGTCAAACAACAGAAATGTATACATTCTAGTCATAGTGCTGTGCGATGGTATAGTGAGAAAGAGGAAATTTTCTTGGTTGTAAATTTCAATAACCATTTATGGCATTGACAGTATTTTTATCAAAGTTTGTTTTTCTTAATTTGATGAGAATATTCTCCTTGGATCTCTTTTTTTCTCAAAATCAAAATATGATGTAACCCCATGGCATAAGAGGTAGTGAATGATACGTTATGATATACATGTAGAAAACATGACAGATATTCCTAGATCGTCAAAGTGGCAGGGATTTATGTATTGCAGCATCTCTTATCTCATGATTTGGAATTAAATTTTGAATTGGATATTGGAACTAAGATTTTCACTCAGAGGGATCAAAACATACAGAAAGTCATTCAATCATATATGGCTGTGCAGGCAGTAACTTTATCTTTTGATAATTTGTACTCTTTCAGCTAATTAACATGTTGAAGAAATTGTAAAAGAAATAAGGTTTTTACAAATGAACATCTGTAGAAATTGATGGAGAAAATTTGTTTTATTATTACCATGTTTACAGTGTGATATTATTACTGAAAAACTGCAATACACAGATTTGACTGAACACAAGATAAGTGTGTCCATCGACTTGGTATATGAACACGGTCTGGTTTGGACTAAGTTACATTCCTATACATATTTGATCACAGTACATGTCCTACTCGGCCATTACATTCGATGAGTTATAAGATGTTGAAAAGACTGAATGAAAAATTGAGATCATAGTGGATTATCAATAGAGAGGAAGCAAAATTGTGTTTTACATGTTGAGAATAAAAGTTTACAAAATCAAAATTTTTGATTCATTGTGTATGTACTTGGAGGTTTTTATTGAATTCAGACAGTTAATCTGTTAAGTTTTCTAATCAATAAGTAATACTTCTGTAATTCACAAAAGGTTTAATTTATAGAAACTGTGCCTATATTTACTAGGATCTGATGTGAAAGAAAAATTTAAGAAAGGTTTCAAAGGTTATCAAAGATGCTAATGTCAGATTCATTACAGTCAGGGACAGGGTGATATTTATACTCATTAGTTACATATCCTGTATAAAAACTCTCAGACAGTTGACCAAACTTAATGAGTGATTACATCATGTTTATTTATGTCAATTGTATATACTGATATTCTCTGGGTTTTTGTACCTCAGTCCTTTGTCAGCATGATTCTGTGTGGGATTTTTTTAAGGCACATTGTATAAAAGAAAAGTTGGGAAGAGCAGCTTTTATTTGAATTCATGGCTTTTAGGAAGATTTTTTTTATTAATTTGTTATGTTTTGTCTTGAAAGAAAATTTTCAGTTTCTTTAAAAAAAAAAAATTCATTTTTTTATGTAAAAAACAAGTGTAATATGTACTGCAATTGTTTGTATTTTTATTTGGTATTTTCATTTTATAGCATGATTACAGGCAAGTTTTTCTTTTGAGTAATTTCAGTCATTTAAAGATAAAGACAAATATAAACGCATTTCTATAATTTTTTAGTTGGTAAGTTATTTTCATAATTGCTCTGCCATTTCATAGACTTGAGAAATGTTCCTCTACACAATCATCATGAAGTAAACTGTTGTTTACAATTGTCTCGGAAGAATAATGTGCATAGGACATAAACATTACAGGACAATGCCTTGTTTTTAACACTAATGTATAAATACATTTAATTTTTTTTTTTACTTAATTATGTAGATAAGGGACCTCCTATTTGTGATCATCTATAGAGTCAGTCTACTGTATTATTTTGTTTTCTACCTCTTTTGATACATATATTTATTGTCATCATCAAAAAATACATTTTAATACAAATAGGTTGTTTCAAAGTTGAGGAAGTTCTAAGATCAATTTTATCAGTCTGTTCATATATATTTTTTTTTAGAGAAAGAACTGGTTGTTAAATTATGAAGGCATTCAGTGATGTGTAAAGAGGGAACAATTTTGACTATCGTTTTAAATTATTACCGTAATTTACTTTTTTTATTATAATTTTAGAACAATATTGTACTTTAAGAAAATTTTCATACCAAGTTTGCATTACACAGAAATTTTATTAATCTATTACTTCAAGATGTATAGAAAAGAAAGTATACTTTGTATGAAAGTTATTTATTGCAAAGATTTTTTAAAGATAAAAATCATTAAATGGAACTAACTTGTTGTACCACATCTAGACATGATATCGGGGAAACCAAATATTATTACACCAGGCTCCTAACAGGGCTTGACTTTTGTATACAACTATATCAATATTAAATATTTGAAATGAAACAGAATGCCAACATGTAGGTTTCATTACTGAGGATATTTTATATATTTTCGTTCATGAAGTACAAAGTAGTATGTGTGTTGACGAGAAGTGACTGGATTGTGAGAAGAACAGTTGATATGGAGTATGGGTATGAATGTAAAATACTGTTGTGTAAAGTTATTACCAATTGTGTGTGTATGAGAGAGATCAATTTATATGGTTAATATGCCTGCTACGTTGAGCTCTAGCTTTTCTGTAGGAAGCAATAAAAATAATTTCAAATTTTTAAAAATAGTTTTATTTTAAAGTTGTTTTTTTTTTTTTTTTTACTTATTTCCTTCAAATTGTGAATTTTTTTTAACAAATAAATTTTTTGCAATTTTTTTTAGAGTACTAGCCAGTGATTTAAACTGGAGAAATTTTTTTGTCAGAAACAAAATTACTGTTGAAAATGTTGTTAAAATTGGTGAAACAAGGTGACAGTAAGATAGAAAGGGTGTGTTCAGAACAATACTGAAGTGTTGTAAATACAGATGACTATTTATTGACAGGCTCGAGGTCTGTGGTTATGTATACTTTGTTGTCTGTTGATCATATGTTCATAGTCATTGAGTTGATTCAAGTGGCATTGTCATTGGGCTGTACATAATTGCATTCAATTTTTTGTAGCTTTTGCCTACCAACCAAAGTACAAAAAATGATTGTGTAAATAAAGTGAGTCATAAAAATGTTTAATTATTTTTGTTCTTTTTTGGGCATGTGGATGGAAATATGACTTGTATGTGTCCATATCTTATCTTTAACACATCAGACCTTTGCAAACTTGCAATGTGTACTGCACAGAGGCAAAAATTGTTTAATAAGCAAGTTATTTAAGCAAATGGTGTCTTCTGTGTACATGTATCAGCAATTTGGATGAAAATGTTGCTGTTGTTCATTTATGTGAGAGTGCACGGGTGATGTTGCTGGAATATCACTGAGTCACAGACAACCATTTGCAAAATGATTTTGTCTGTTGTTGTGTATATCTTTTCACATCATCAACTTCTTCTCAAGAATCAATGGACCAGTTTCAAATTTGCCACAAAATATCCTTGAGTGAAGGGGATTCAATTTGTTCAAAAGAAGGATGCCACCCCAATCCAAGGGGAGATACATTTGTAATCAAGAAAAGGCAAGAATAGGGATGGAGTCGATCTCGAGAACCACTGGGCCAGAATAGTTGAAACTCATTGGAAAGCTTCCGGACACAGTGTAGATTCAAGTTTGTTCAAATTATGGTCCTTGGGGGTAAGGTTAGTCCACAGAGGGTCAAAAGTTACTTTGGAAAATATGGAAAGAAATCTTTGAAGTTTTCTTCTCATGAATAGCAGGGCCATGTTCAGTCACATTAATGTGCAAGCATCCTCAGGTGGTGCAGTGTTTAGCTAAACAATTTTTTTTTCTCAAGAACAACAAGGTCAAACTAATATGCAAATATCCTTGGGTAATACAGATTAAAATTTGTTTCAATTGCAGTCCTGGGGGCAAGTTGGGGCCACAATAGGGGATGAAAATTTTATGTAGGAAATTAGAGGGAAAAAAATCTCAACAGCAAGGCTTTTAGTTATATTAATATGCAAGCATCCTCAGATAGTACCGATTCAGATTTTTTCAAATCTTGGTTCTGGGAGATGGGGTGGGGCTACAATTGAGGATCAAAGTTTTATGCCAGATACAAATTTTCATCTGAAGGAAACAGGACCATGATAGTATGTCATATAAATATGCAAGTATCCTAAGATAATGCAAATTCATTTTTGTTAACGTTCAAATCTTGGTTACCAAGAGTGTTGAGGAGCCACATTAATAGAATCTTGGAGTGGAAGTATAAATACCGGTAGAGAAAAAAATTACAGACTTTTCAAGAAAAGCAGAGTTTACCAAATCCTACCGAACTTATGGTTCAGGTACCAGGGTGGGGCTAAGATTGTAATATATTGAGAAATTAAACAACTTAAATCCTTTGGCTTGGTTCAGGAGATCCCAGAGTTGGGGGTGAGGGGCTAAGTTTGTTGTATTAAGATTTTTAATCAAATTTTCACATCATTTGGTGTAAAATCAGACAAGCAAAATCAAAGAATTATGGTCCCCCGCTTTCGGTGTCTTAGTGGATCGGATGCCATTATTTATGACATATTGTAACTGTCTTCATCAAACATCAAGGTCAAGGGGTAAAAAATCATAGTATATTTAGAAAGGTCTTGCCACAGGTAATGTACTTGTCAAATATAAAAGCCCTATCTCTTCTTAATCAAAAGTTATAAGTAAAGACTTAATTTTTGAAAAGTAGTTCAAACTTCAAGGTCAAGGTCACAGGGTCAAAAACCATAGTAGATTTGGAAAGGTTTTGTCACAGGTAATGTACTTGTGTAATATGAAAGCCCTACCTTTCTCATTCAAATTTTTTAACCAATTTAAATTAATGTTAAAAGTTTTGAAAAGTAGGTCAAACTTTAAAGTCATGGAGTCAATAATCATAGCATATTTGGAAAGGTCTTGCCACTAATGTACATATCAAATATGAAAGCCCCGTCTCTTCTTGATCGAAAGTTATAAGCAAGGATTTGATTTTTGAAAAGTAGGTCAAACTTTAAGGTCAGGGGGTCAAAAGTCAAAGTACGTTTAGAAAGTTCTTGTCACAGGTAATATGCATGTGTAATATGAAAGCCCAATCCTTTCTCATTCAAAAGTTATGACCAACTGAAATTGCAATTTTTAAAGATGTCATATTTCTATATACAAAAATAGCGAAGATTGATGATTAACGAGGATGGTAATTAGTAATGCATGGCAGAAGGAACCGGGGGGGGGGGGTCCCTTTCCCAATAATTTTGCCGATATATAAAATACTATTTAAAAAACAGCTACTATATAATGATAACGCCTGATTACCCTTTTTTGGGGTTTGTCAAGGAATCTTTGGTAGTGATAATGCCCACCCGACTGAAAACTGAAAATGTATGGTTGTGCCCCCCAAAATGAAAATGTTTTCTACGGCCCTGTAATGTTAAATAAATAAGGAGAAAGTGAAAAAAAAATGAAACAATGTATCAAAAGATAACATGTCTGGCTATTAGTAATAATCTATAACGTGAAGCCATAATCACGAATGAACTGAGTAATAGATCATCTATAGAGGGGCGCCCGACACCGCAGTGTCCGTGGCCACAAAACTTAAAGGAGCTCAAATTTGATCTCAGTCTCACTTTTACAAAAGGAATATGAACTGAGATCAAAAATGAGTCCATCTAAGTTTTATGGCCCCAAAGCCAGGAGCCGCGGTGCTTTATGGAAACGTATCCCTATCTCTGAGCGAGTAGCTCTAGTGACGCAGTGGTTAGTGTTCTCTCTATCTAGGGTCGCGGAGTAAGGAGTTGATCCTTGCGTCGCCGGTTTGAATCCCACTGCTGGACGTAGAGACCGTTCCTTTGGAAGAGACCGCCGGCGTGGATTCAAGAATTTTTCCAGGGGGCCACTTTAAAAAAAAAAAAAGAAACCCAACCCAGAAATTTCTTGAAAGAAAGAAGAAAAATGAAACGTAAACTTGTTTTCCAAAGGGAAAAACCTATTTTCTGGGGAGGGGGTCCAAGGTTACTTTTAGTTGCTTAAGTATATACATTTAAAAAAACCTAAACTTGTTTTCCAAACGTGAAAAACCTTTTGCTTGTGAAGGTGAGGGCGGCGTCCAAAGTCTATTTCATATTTGCTCCAAAGTCACTTTTATCGTTGCTTTACTCGTACATTTAATAACTCTGCAAATTTCCGAGGGGGGGGGGGGTTCGGACGCCATCGTAAACCTCACATATCTCTTATTCAGATATTAGGTACATGTATTTTTTAAAAGACAGTTTGGAGCTGAAAATGAATTCAACTGTCTTCTGATCATAAATAATATTAATTTTACCCATCAAAAACATGTTTCTGCGAAAAGCTTTAGCACTTAATTTAAGTCCCACCACTCAAAGCTGCTTCCATCTCAAATCGTCATCAGAATGATCATTAATTAGCGTTAATTGAAAGCCAGACTTGACAGAATTTCTTTGTAAGTAGTTTGGCGATCTTGAGAAGGTTTAATCTTCGATTTTCATGTCATATTACTGTTGCAAGTTCATAACTTTTTTAAGATGAGAATGAAGGATTTGAAGAATGGTAAAAATATACCCCCTCCTTCAAAATAGCTTTTGAATGTTTTGTAAAGGAGTTGACCTTTTTTCTTTAATTCAAAATATTTCTGGATTGAATTTTTTTTTTAGAAGTTGGTCCCCACTGGAAAAAAATCTTGAGATCTGTAGCAGTGTTATGTCGGTGTTTTTTTTCCCACTTTGGTGCTATAAATAGAATATATAGGTTGGTGAACCTTGTTTTTCATTGGACGCACTTTGATCTTTAGTCACGTGTACATTTTGGTGGGAATTTTCTGCTGATCTTTTGTTCATATTGCCGCCTTGAAAGTTGTCCTGTTGAATGTGTGTGTGAGGTATATCCGTTGAATCTTAATAATACATGGATTTTTATTAATTATTAACCCAGGTGAGTCGTCTCTAAATTAATGTATTTTGTTCAATGTTAATATAGTGCCAGTCTGACAGTTTTTTTTTATTAAATGTAGTTAATTTGATATACTGAATTAACCAGTAATACTAATACAAGACAATATGTAATGTTTCAATGCTTTTTCCTTGTTTAGCAGATGTACGTCCTGGATGATGTGGTGAAATGGAAAATACCTAGTGGACAGTCCTCACTTTGAAGGTCTTCATTCGAATGGTGTTCTCTGGAGGAATGCTTCTCTTCAGTCCTGTCTTTAGCAGGCAAGCAGGTAGAAAAGCATCGCAGTCAGCTAGTTACAAAGTAGTTTCTTAATTTTGTAATTTGCACTATTTTAGTAATTCTGGAGCAGTTACTTAATGAAATATGAAATCATTGTATTTGACTAGTCATATACATGTACATGTATGTACTTTTCTTTCAAAAAAGTAACTCATATCAAAGATAGTTCCAATATTGCAGCTTTTGAATACTTTTAAGCAAAAGTTTGAGTAACTGTACACTACCTTGTGTGCATTGAGGCATGGATAAGCATGATTGCTTCTCATTGTGCTGAATTATTCCCAATCAATTACATGTATCTTGTTGCTTTATATAGCCCCAAAACTTTTAGAACCTTGTCTGTGAGACAGAGTGTTTTGCATGGTGTGTGGTACTATGGACAGTCTTTTTCCCCAAAAAATAAATATTGAGCACAGAGATATTAAGGTGAAAAGAAGCTGCAAAAGTTGCTTGAAATAAGTATACTTAACACTACATGCTGAGATACATTTCTTGATTTGAAATAAAGTTAAAAAAATGTCCTTTTATTATTTCACCTCAATGAAGTCAATATGAGTTTATGTTACCCCCCCCCCCCCCCAAACTAGAATTGGTGTCAGTATTAGCATGGTTGTCCAGGTTAAAGCTTTAGAAGGCAAGTCCATTCCCAATTAACTGTAAGTTTTATCTGGACCAAACTTGCATGGATGATGCATCTAGGGATGGACACTATAAGACTTGCTTTGGATGCTGGATCTGCCCTATATTTTCCAGATGAGTTTTTTGAGCAGGTCCATTCCTAATTAACTATATATCTGTATTTGATCTATATACATGTATTTCAGATGAGTGGACAGTTTAAAGTTTTTGGAGCAGATCCAATC